GATGTAAGCATGACCTGTTTTAGTAATAGTTAATAGATTTTTTTAAGAAAAAAAAAAGTTAGTTGGTAAAATTATTATAGAAATACTTAATAGAAAACTAACTCAATTGTTATTATTTCATAAGATTTCAAATTAACACTATGAATAGAAATGTTTTTTTCTCATTTAACCCCACTATTGTACAACTATATAATGGTAATTTGAATGTTAATATTGTATTTTTGGCTCCATCATTGTATATTTACCACCATATTTCAGCTTTCTAAATTATAGCTTATTCTCCCTTAATTAAAAAGTCTCAAAATCTTGTGTAATTATATATATATATATATATATATATATATATATATATATATATATATATATATATATATATATACTAAAAGACACACCAGCCATAACACGTGTCATCTCCTGGTGTGTCCTTAGTATTTATATATATTTTTTAAGAAAAAAAATTTATTTAAAGAAGCAGATATTTTGCATATATAAAAATAAATATAAATCTTACAGTATATTGAGAAATTATATGAATAAATATTCCAACCATCAATTATCTCCTAGAATTAAGGAAACAATAATAATCACCAAGTAAATATCTACTAAATATACCATGATTTTCCTAACATATATATTACGGTGATATATAATTTTGCAATCTTCCCTTAAAAAAAAACAATCTTTGATTTAACCAAGATACCCTTCAAAAAAAGCAATCATAGACTTAACAAAGATAAAGAAGCAGATATTTTGCATATATAAAAATAAATATAAATCTTACCGTATTTTGAGAATTTATATGACTAAATATTCCCACCATCAATTATCTCCTAGATTTAAGGAAACAATAATAACACCAAGTAAATATCTACTAAATATACCATGATTGTCCTAACATATATATTACGGTGATATATAATTATGCGATCTTCCCTTAAAAAAAAAATCTTTAATTTAACCAAGATACCCTTCAAAAAGCGATCTTAGACTTGATACCCTTCAAAAAAAGACTTAACAAAGATAAAAAAGGTCAGTTAATATAAATATAAACTATGCAATTTTTTTTAACAAGTAAGTAATAAATAATAGTAAGTAATATTATACTTAATAACTTTATAGTTGACTCACTTTTGGTAACAAACAATTAGTAGTTCGATTATATACTATTATGTCTACATTTTATTTTAATAAAGATGATGACTATATAATTAATTATGCAAACTTAGACTTAACAAAGATAAGAAAAATTGAACAAATTTAAGAAAAGCCAGTTAAATCATGCAATATTCTTTTTACCTTTTATTTTTAGGAAAAATTCACTGGAATAATCCCACCTTTGGGCTATTCAAAATTAATAATCCCACCTTTCGATTATTATTTAATAATTCAACCTTTGGATGCCTTTAATTTTTATTGGTCCCAACCGGCCATGTAACCTGTTATAACAGTTACATGACACGTGGCGGCCTGTGATTAGTAAAAAAAAAAATAATAAAAACAGAAAAAAACCCAATTTTTTTATAAAATAATTTATTAATTTTTTTTAAATAATATTAAATTTAATTAACCATAATTATATTAAATAAACAAATTATAAAAATTAAAAAAAAAACCCAACCACCCAGCCACCCCAGCCACCTTCGCCGCCCTTCCCCAACCACCCTCTTTCTCACCTCCATGAATTCTGACATACTACCAGCCACCCCAGCCACCTTCGCTGCCCTTCCCAACTTCCCTAGCCACCCCAACCACGACCACCCACCCTCATTCTTCACCTCCACCCGAAACTCAACCATCCCTCTACTCAACCCCAACCACCGCTGCTTTACCACCTTTCTACCCCACTTGAAACACCCGAAAATCACCTGTAATAGTAAATCGTTGCTTTACCACCTCTTTCTCATCTCTTAGCTAAGTGTTTCGGGTTTCTAGGGTTTCGATGTGGGTGGATTAATTGCTGTTGCTGGCTGATGGCGAGGTGGAGAGAGAGAGCAGCAGCAGGGGTTTGGAAGTGGCGGTAATGGGGCTGCTGCTGTCTTAAGGTTGTGCGTGAGGTGTGGCTGATTGGTAGTTGTTTGTTGCAGGTTGGTGGCTGATTGGTTGCGTAGGGTGGAGGTGCGTGGGCTGAGAGAGGAGGTGCGGTGTTTTGTGTGGTGGCTGCATTGGTTGGAGTTGCGAGGATTTTCGAGTGTTGGCCGGAAAGAGAGGGAAGGGGGACTAGTTGGCCGGAAAAGGGGAATGAGGCTGCCGGAATCCATGGGGGACTTGGTTGTGGGTTAGGGGAAGGTGGGTCATTTTTTGTTTTGTGGGGTTTAGGGGTGGAGGAATGGTGGTTCAAGGGGAAGGGGGGTGGCACCGGCATCGGGGGAGGGCACATGGGCGGCGACCGGTGCTTGGGAGGCAGGGGGTTGGCTGGGCTGTGTGGCAGTAGGGGTGGCTGGGGTTGAAGGCTAGAGTTGTGGGTTAGGGGAAGGTGGGTCAATTAGGTTGCTAGTTTGTTTTTTTTTTTTTTAAATTTTTTTTTTGTTTTTTTCAACCAATTAAGAAACGACACGTGTAAATTAAACTTAAAAAAAAAAAACCTACTCAACCGGTTTCTGGTCAAATGGGACCAATAAACATTAAAGGCACCCAAAGGTCGGATTATTAAATAATAATCGAAAGGTGGGATTATTAATTTTGAATGGCCCAAAGGTGTATTCTTCAAATTCCTGGTAAGACATTAGTCCAATGTTTTTAAGTTGTTTGGTTTTGTTTAATAATGTTATTAAATTTTGCTTATTTCATTAGTCCAATATATATTAGTTAGATATATATGATTTACAAGAGATACAAATATACTACGTTTAAGTTAGGGACTTGTTAAACATCGCCCGCGTTTTTCTACATAAAGCCCACAATTTATAAAATTTTGACAACTTTGCCCTTGTTCTAATTTTAACCTAAAACGAAATTTTCTCTCACCCAAAATGTGGAACAGTGCCGGATCGCCGAGGGACACCAAAGAGCCGCCGTCGTCGCCGGAAAACGAGGTCCGAAGTGGTTAAAAATCAATTTTTGGCGACGAACGTCTGGCCGGGAGGCCGCCACCGTGGAGGTGGCGCCTAGCCAGGACGCCGCCACCGTGGCTGGGGCGCCTGGCCAGGCGCCATTAACCTTTTTTTTTATTTTTTTTTTCAAATTTTTTTTCCTATTTTTTTTTAAAAAATGTATTTTGTTATTTGGATTTTCCTTGCAATTTTTTTCTTTATTATGTTTTTGTTTCCTAAATTTTTTTGTTATTTTGGTTTTTTCTTTCTAGTTTTGTTTATTTTTTGAATTTATTAAAACATATTTTCAAAATAAATTAATATTTTTTTTTTGTTTTTTTAAAAAAAATTTCAAATTTATCAAAATTCAAACAAAAAATTAAAAAAAAAACAAAAAAAAACCAAAACGAAAAAAAAATATACCTCCACGCCGCCACCGTGGCTACGGCGTCTTGCCCAGGCGCCGCCACCGTGGCGGTGGCGTCCTGGCCAGGCGTCGTCACCGTGGTTGTGGCGCCTGGGTGGGGCGCCGCCACCACGGCTCCTTCGCGATCCGGCGACTTTGTTTACTTTCACCGCGAAACCGCCTCCCGCCTCCGGTGTCGTCACTTCCCGTTTATTAGCCATAACAGTGTGTTTTAAGATGAAAGTGTGTTTTTGATGTTGAGGGCAAAAATGTCATTTCATTTCAAATTTGTGGGCTTTATGTGGAGATTTGCGGGCGATGTTTAGCAATTCACTTAAGTTAAGGATGTAATACATAAAGATTATTCTTTGGCCATATAGAAAAAGAATCATATAATTATTCTATATAAAATTGGTGAGTATAAAAAAAATCCTTTTTGCAATATTCAATAAGCAATTCTTAACATAATGTATGCACTAATAAAGGACACGTGAATTACCAATAAGTTCAAATATCCAATTTAACTTATTGTAATTTTTTTTGTTTTTTTTTATTTTTTTGAATGGTAACTTATTGCTTTATTGGTATTTCACATGTATCCAGATGGATTTTTATTTTTTTTTTTATTTTTTGAATTACCAATAGATTAAAATATAATGTTCAAATATCACTAGGCTACTGTAATAAGTTTCGTGTAAGCAAACATGTTTACTTTTTAAAACTTCAATTATTTTATGCATGCAAATAAAGTCAACTCGTGCTTATATTACAATTTACTTTTGTTAGACTTGATGTTAAGTGAAGAGCAATTAAAGGGCCACACTTTGGCACATATAGAGAATTTATTACAAAGTAATGGTCGTAGTCTTTCACAATTCCCTCTGATGCCATTACTAGATCATGATTTGGTTTCTCATGGGCTTAATAAGCTTATTCAAGAAGAACTTCGTTACAATAGAACGTCCATGGATTTAGAGAATAAAAGACTATATTCATGTCTAATTGATGAGCAAAAAGGGGTGTATGATGAAATAATGAATAATCTTGCTGCAGATGAAGGAGGTGTTTTCTTCCTTTACGGCTATGGTGGCACAGGAATAAGCTTCATGTGGAAAACACTTTTTGTTGCTATACGATGTCAGGGTGAAATTGTACTTAATGTTGCATCAAGTGGAATTGCATCTCTTCTTCTTCCCGGAGGTAGAACTGCTCATTCTAGATTTGAAATTCCAATAAATGTAACTGAAAATACAACTTGTGAAATTAAATAGAGATCCCCGTTGGCCGATCTTTTAATCAAGACAAAACTTATTATTTGGGATGAAGCTCCAATGGTTCATAGATTTTGTTTTGAAGCTCTAGATAAAAGTCTGAGGGATATTATGAGATTTTCTAATCCAAAAAGTATGGATCAACCATTTGGTGGCAAGATAGTTGTTTTTGGTGGAGATTTTCCACAAATTTTACCGGTTATTCCTAAAGGAAGTCGACAAGATATTGTATTTTCAGTCATCAACTCTTCATACATATGAGATTATTGTCGTGTACTATCATTAACTCAAAATATGAGACTTCAAGTGAGAAGTTCACATTTGAATTTAAATAAGGTCAAAGAATTTTTAGAGTGGATATTGAGAATTGGAGATGGTAAAGAAGGAGAACCTAATGATGGGGAGACAATTATAAAAATTCCTGATGACATATTGATTAAAGATGAAGTTAATAGTCCGGTTGCATCTATTGTTGAAAGTGTGTATCTTTTCATATCACATAATTTGGATAACACAAAATACTTTCAAGAGAGAGCTATTCTTGTGCCAACAAATGAGTGTGTAGAGGTAGTTAATGAGCATCTATTGTCTATTATTCCCGGGGAAGAGAAAATTTATCTTAGCTCAGATAATATTTGTGCATCAGATAGAAATGTGAGGGGTTATCAAGAGTTGTATACACCGAATTTCTTAAATAGCATCAATTGTTCAGGACTTCCGAATCATACCCTGAAATTGAAGATTGGGGTCCAGTTATGTTACTTAGAAATATAGACCAACCTAATGGTCTATGTAATGGCACTAGGTTAGTGATTACTCAACTGGTTAGCCATATAATTGAGGCTAAATCATATCGGGAAACAACATTGGACATAAGGTATTTATTTCTCGCATGCTTTTAACCCCGACTGACATAAAATTGCCTTTTAGATTTCAACGAAGGCAATATTCATTAGTTGTTTGTTTTGCAATGACTATTAACAAAAGTCAGGGTCAATCTCTTCAACATGTTGGCCTATATCTCCCAAGACCGGTGTTTAGTCATGGTCAACTATATGTTGCGGTTTTAAGGGTCACAAAGAAAAGTGGACTAAAAGTTTTGATATGTGAAAAAGAAGGAAAAATATCTCATACTACACACAAGGTAGTATACAAAGAGGTGTTTCAAAATTTGCATAACGAGGTACGTAATTTATCTTTGTGTAAATTTAAAGTTTAATTTATTTATTTCTTAAATTTACTTCCTTACTTATTTCTTGGTTAACTTAAATATGGAAAAATTATTATACAATAATATCATGGAGAGCATGTTCCTTCGTAAATCTAATAACAGAAGGCATTTAGTACTTTTATGCCACATAATAGAAATTTGAGATATTTGTTTAAAATAAGTATCATGATCATCATATGCACTATTATGTAAACATATCCCCAAATATGTAAATTATCATGCTATGCAAAATTAGTATAACAATCATTCCTAAATATAATTAAAGCAATTCAAAGATTTACACAAATAATAACGTAAAAATCTCTCAAAAATATGTTAATAATTTATTTTATGTATATCCTATCTATACTATATGAGAAGTTATTACCTTAACTTAGTATAGCTTTTTATAATTTTATTACATATATACTATATAATCTTAACATATCATTTTTTTAATAAACTTTTCAACTGTACATTTTATAATTATTTTATTATGTAATTTTACATAAGATATACTGATCTTTACGCTTTGTATGCAGTGATCATATGTAGACGGGCGATCTCATTCAATTGCTATCTTCCTTGATTAAATAATAATTGTTCAAGTTTCTTGAACAACTACTGAAAATGAAAGAAATAAAAGGCAAAGCAAATGATAACACATGTGCAATTCAACATTATTCTTTCTCTCTATGTTTTTGTGTTTTAATTAATTTTTTTAATGATTTTTTTTTCTTGATAAATACTTTATTATTAACAATAATAAAATGGTCATTGCAACATTACATTACATTACGTCAACATTACATTATATTTTATGTGTATGTTTTGTCAATTTTTGAATAATTTTTAAATAGACCGTGTACGGCACGGGTCCTAAACTAGTATAATACTAAAACAGACACTAGGAATGACACGTGTCATATCCTGGTGCTGTTTTTTTCCCTCCAAAATCCCCTCCCTTGTTTTACTTTTTTTTTTAAAGCCAATGACATTATTTAACTACTACAAAGTATAAGTTATACACAAAATATTCACCAAATCATATAATATATTTGTGATTATATTGATTCATATATATACTTTCCGTTTCTGTAATTAATATTTTCCATTCTATGTAATTTTAGATACATATCTAATGTAATATTAAATAAATATAGAGGTTCTAAATTTTACTATACAAACCTAACGTAAAATTAAATTAACTTAGATAAAAAAAAAATATACATTTAAAAGTTAAAAAATATTTTCCAAGGAAAATTTATGCTAAATTTAATATAATAATAATAATAATTAAAGATTTTTGTGAATACGACAGGTAAAACATGTACTTCGTATTAGGTTGTAGCTACTGAAGTGGAAGGTATGACAAGAAAATTTTAGTTTTTTTTTCTCTACGGGAGATAGGAAATGAATGAGTCAACTTCTCTTACATAGTTATGTGGAGCAATATTAATTTATTTTTCAATTAATAAAATAAATTTATAAAAAAATACAAATAACTTAAAATACTATTCAAATTACGTTCCTTTATTTTTGTATCGACCATTAGTAAATGAGCTCTTTATTACTAATTGAATTATATTTGTTTTTTTCCTATGAGACTAGTAATTTAATTTATAAACCGTGCATCGCACAGGCACTACGCTATTAAAAGAAAGGGGGTAGTTTTGGAGGGAAAAAACAACACCAGAAAGTGACACGTGTCATTCTTGGTATCTGTTTTAGTATTATGTTATTGATAGAGAGAAGTTATTAAATAAGGAAATGTTTTATTTATTTAAATACGGCTGTAAAAGAAAAACGTTTTATTTATTTAAACACGAAAGAAGTACTTTTGAAGGTTTTTGATAATAAGGTGATATTTGAGGCAAAAATTCGACATTATTATTATTATTATTATTATTATTATTATTTGCATGCATTTGAATAAGTTTTTTGCCGCTACTGTATAAAAAAACACCGCCCCTAAAAAGATGTTTGCGTATCAAACAAAAAACATATATAGTGAAAAAAGAACATGTAAAAAATAAAATTCGATGTAAATAATGGATACTCGAGAAGTAATGTTCATTACAGTTTGAATATGATGACTAAATCGAATGGCATATTACACAGTAACACATGTAACATCACTTTCCATAGCCAAAATGAAAGAAAGTCAACGCTCCGCTCCATACTCTAACGAGACAAATCGTATTTCAATTTCCACACAATATATTACTCCTTATCACACAACTTACAATTTTTTAATATTATACTTTGTAATAACATAAGGCACCGTCCATGTAACGCAATGTTGACTTAAACTTATTAGAATACATAAACTTTGGCATTCTTTATTTTCAATCAATAACGCATGGTTTGCTTCAATGCAATAAAATCTCTGGAGATGATTTAATTAAAAACCTCAATTATTGAGAATGACATTGAGGTATGAAGTGGTATGAAGTTAATATGAGTAAATCCTGCTTCATTCAACAATTTCTTCCATTCATCTTCAGTCCTCTCTTTAGCACTAAAAGTCACCATCATCAAGAGATCAAGGGCTATGGATGCATCGTCGAACATCGCGTGGCGATCGGGATGAAGAACCATGTCCACAATGATCACCTTTCCTTTCTTTTCAGCAACTGCTTCTTGACACTTCTTTAGGATGAGCAATGCTTCCTCGTCGCCCCAATCATGTAAAACGGACTTCATTCAACAAAAAATAAGCAATGATATTAATTGAATTGATGTTATAGAATATGTTTGACTAATGTTTTTTCAATGGATTTTGGCCTGACTTTTTTTAACTTGGTAAAACAGTCAAAATATGTTTTTGGTTATTGACTTTCTTATTGTTTGAAATGAAAAGCCAGTTTACGTAAGAATATTGATTTGTTTTGGTTATTTGACAGTTGTTATACAGCTTATTACCTTTTCTGTAGCATATTAATAATTTTTAAGACATAGTTAAATTTTAACCAAATACGAAGTATATTTATAAACAATTAATAGTCTAATAAGACCCTGTTTATTTTCTTTAAAGAAGAAATACAATAGAGAATTAGTAAAAATAATTCAATTCAGCAAAAGTAATTTCAGTTTAGTAAAATTAATTTCAGTTCAGTAAAAATAATTTAAGTTCTGTAAAAATAATTTAAGTTCAAATAATTTATTTCGAGTAGTCAAATCATTTCTAATTAGCTGGTCAAGTGATCTCAATTAAAATTTGGATCAATAAGTCAACTTTTCTAGGTTTAGCAAACTAAAGAAATCAAATAAAAGGAACAACATTATTAAGAAACAATGAGATTGTTTATTTGTTCTTCAACATACCTTGATGATAACATTATCAGCAGAAGGAATCTCCTTAAACATATCTCCTCCAACATGAGTAACTCCAGGGTATTGAGGAGCATTTGCAATAGTAGGAGGAAGATCAAAATTTATACCTTTAATATGAGGGTATGCCTTAACAATGGAAGACACCACCTTTCCAACATTACCCCCAACATCAACAAGTGTACCTTCCATCCCATTAAACCCATCCTTATACTCACTTATGATGGCATCTAAGGATGTATTAGAAGCCGCGGTCATGCCGGCAATAAACAACTTATTAACATTGGCATCCTTAGATGTCATCTCCCATAATGGTGCACCATGAGCCAACTCGAAAGGCGTTCCTCCCTCCTTAATCGAACGGCCTATTTCGAACCATCCATCCACCATCACAGGGTGGGTGAAGGTTAGAAAAATAGGGGCAAAGCTTAACTCTTGATCATGCAAGAGGCACTTTGAGGTTGGGGTTAGTCCATACAAGGCTACGCCGGGTTCATCATCACCCGGCGACAAAGACAATTTCTCATAATTAACCGTGAAGATTTTCTTTCGGGCTAACACACGCATGATGCGTGCAAGAGATGAGAGGTTTGGGGAGGGTGCCTCGAGTTTCGAGGCGAGTTCGGACAAGCTCATAGGTTGGCCATTGGAGTGTATGATATCCGCAATGCGGAGCTCAATGGCAGATCTAAGCACAAGGCTATCTGCGTAGGCAAAGAGGTGTTTGCACACCTCTTCTTGAGCTTGTAAGAAATCAATTTTCTCATAATTTTCATTATTTGTGTTCTCCATTTTTCTTAGGTTTGTTTTTCAGGGCTTTTTTTTAAAAAAAAAAAAATTATTTTTCTTAAAAGCTCTAATTGCTTAATTAGTTTGGGTTGTTATGAGGTATAAGTACGATAAATTTATAGTTTATAAATTGTTGACTTTATTTTTATTTTTGTCATGCTGTAGGTAGCTAATTTTTTTTTTTAATATATCCATCGATTTCATGGAACTCGTTCATCTTATTAAAATGTCCTGTTTTCTAACTTACTAAGCAATAACTTTATTTTTTGATAGCATAATCATTGTGATGCAATGTTTACAATTTATTATTTCTAATTCTTTGACCCATAATTTTGTACTCCGTATCACTCCATTGACTATAAGCCACTTTAATTTTGTGTTCGTTGTTGGCTTACCAAACGTTTTATATTTAACATTTTAACAAAATAAAACATGAATATATAGTTTTTTTTTTTTTAATTTTTTAAACTAACTAATTTAAACTTGTTTCAGTATGAAAACAATGGGACCTTCGGCCGGTCCTTTTCGAGGGAGAAGACTGATCTCGGTCCAAGTGGTGAATGGACCGAGGATTTCCTGCACAGCAAACTAGTCTCGGGGGTGGTTGCCGAGGAAGGCCCCTCCGATGCTAAAGCCAGTTCAGTGTATTGAGAGAGAAAGCTACGCAAGAGAATTAATTGCTTGAGGCTTATTGTGCATCCATGTAAGAGAAGTCAATTGAAGGCTTTTATACCTTGCTTAATTGGTGAACTGGGCCACAAGTTAGATAGGCTTGCCATGCTGACTGGGCTTGACTAACTTAGCATGCTTTTGGAGAGTTGAACCTTGCTTTGGGTTTTTGTAATTAAATCATTTGGACTGGCCCAATTAGATTGACTGAATTGGACCCAAACAACTTGCCCTCCTAGACCCGATTCGGAAGGATGACAGGTCAAGTTTTGACTTGCGAAATGGAGGGAAACAAATGATTGTAATTTGAACCTGGAATTTGGACAGTTAATGATGTAATAACTGTTGTTTAAGGAGAATAATTAGGGAAGGTGGAAGGTTTAATGGGTGGTTAGCTTGGGAAAGTGTTTAATGGTTGTATTTAAGTAGAATTAGTGGGGTTTTTGGCGGTTCTAACTCTTGGAATTCTTGATCCCAACAAGTTATTTGAACCGCCCTCTCCACTTTCTTTAATCACTTTTCGCAAACACTGTTTCCTTGAATTTCGCTAACACCCTTGAGAACCTGATTACTTTCTTTCCCTTTATTTTCTGCAATTCTGAGCTTTTGACTGAAATTCGTTGCTCCGAACGTATAGATCGGCAAATTTCGAGTCTGATAAAGGTTATTTTCTCCGAAACTTGTTCGGATTTCCTTGTTTTTCAAAGCTTTCCCCTTTTTCCCGATTTCTCGATTTTCACAAAAATGGCTCAAGACCGAGGAAAAAGACCAATGGTAACTGAAGAGGAGGCAGTTCCTCAGCTGGGTGCTCGGCGCAGCCAGCCACTTGGGCAGTAGCCCCCTCTAAGCAACCGAACCTCTTGCCCTAGGAGAGAAGCTAAGGTTTCTTCTGGGGATGCCCCTATTGCTGCGATACCACTGGCTTCGGTGCCTAGCCGTGGCTGGGAAGAAGCGAGCACTTCCAGTAGTGGTTCAGCGCATGGGCCTCGGCGGCTGCCATCTTGTGCCACCGAATGGTACAACTCGCCCGAGAACTTTGGGTTGATGAACACTGCTCTGTATGACTGGTGGGTCAACGGAAATGCCCTCCATTGCTTTGCCAAGAAGATCGAAGTATTTTACGGTATAATGGAGGAAGACGAGTAATGGTGCCAAATGTCAGTAGCCCGAGGATAGGATTCACAGGCACCCTCCTGGTTACATCGGACTGTATACCAGGCAGCTACAATTTAGGCTTAGGTTCCCCTTGCATGCGTTCATTGTGGAGGTGCTGAATGGGTACAACATTTCGTTGTGCCAATTAACCCCGGTCAGCATCCGAAGAGCCATGACATTCCTTTTGGTGTGTCTCTTCTATGGATTTGAGCCGAGCATCCACGTTTTTCGAAAATTGCATAAGCTGATGCCGAATCAGCAATCGGATGAGCACCATGGCCCAGGATGGTGGAGAATTGAGATCCAAAGAGGGTTTTTGACCACTTGGCCGAACGATACCTCTGACAAAGATTGGCGAGGCTAATGGATATGGATTCGGGCTCCTGCTGAGGAGGACCACCCGAACTATTTTGGAGGGCCGAGGCATCTGAGAATGCCAGATCCGAAAATGAAAGCCATCGGCCCGGATGAGTTCTCAGCCGAAGATAAGGAGATACTGACTCTCTTTGGCAAAAAGAAGAATCCAGGGGGAACTGGCCGAATGACCCATGTGCCGGAGACTTGGTTGCCCTGCTATCATTATATCTTCAAGGAGAAGATACTTGCTGCTGTCGGCCTCAGCAGAAAGTACCAGGATGTTAAGAAGTTCGGCTGGGGTCGAAGGCCTTTGCTTTTCTTTTATTTTTCTTTCTGTTTTTATTGGCTGTGCTCTTTCATGTAGAATAACCTTTTTCATTTGGTTTTTCACTGCTGCAAGAAGGGAATTGCGGCCTTGACTACAATAAACTCTATCAACGCTGCTCGGCGAGTGACGAGGAACGCCCCAACCATAACCAATCCTTCGGCTAGGGCCCCTTCACTGCGCCTGCCAACGCTTGAGATAGTCAAGCCTACTGAATATTCAGGGCAGAAACCCTGGTTCTTAAAGAGGGACCCATTTTTTTTATTAGGTCTAGAAGAACAAGCAGCAACTGGTGCTGCTAGTGTAAGGGCTGGAATCTTTGCCAGAGTTTCTGAGCAAGGTGCTAAGCCGCAAACTTTTGTTGCTGAACCCAACGTGTTCAGTGCTGAGGACGAGCAACTGCTGAAGACTTCGGTGAGCCTTAATGCTTTTTCTCTTTTCATTTTCTCCTTGCCTTGCTCCTTCTACTTACTTTTTTCTTTCGAATTTTTCTTCAAAATTTTTCTAAGTACTAAGTTTCGGCGGCTTGAAGTTTTTTTTTTTTTTGATGATGCTGATATCGCTCTTTGCCCCCCTGTTTCTTCTGCTGTATAAAGCATCATCTTCTTTAGACGAATCTTCAGCTAAAGACATGGTCGGGTAAAGAAGGAGGGCTGTAGTAAATCCGGGACAGTTCCCGACTGTTGAGCCCCCTACAAAAGACCTCGGCTGGATGAGGGCCAGGCTAAGGCGGCCGAAGAGAAGACTCCCCCTCCTCCCGAAAATCGAGAGGAAGAAGTATAGCAAAGGACTCCTCCCATCACAAGTTCCTCTCCTCGGCACATGGCTGAACCTTTCGCTAATGAGGTTCAGAAAGAGGCTGATGCACTAATTGTGCAGGCCGAGGATGACGAAATTCAAATTCTGGATGGGAGGCCAGAAACTTTTAGGAAGCTGAAGAAAGAGTTGAAGATCCCAAGAGTTTTGATGTTCCTTCAGCTTCTGCTGGGAACTCTTTCCGGACTTTCCAATCTTTAGACATGGGGTTTAAGTCCGCCCCTCTTTTAACTGTTTTGGAGGCTGTTAGGAACAATCTGCCCTCTCACCGAAACTCGGATGTCGAGTTTTTTGGTGATTTGTCTGGCCTTTTCGAGTTGGAAAGGGCAAAGATCTGGACTTTTCGGGCCGCTGCTGGAGCGGCCGAACTTTTTGTGAGGGTGCTAGACCCTTTTGTTGAGAACCACAAACAACTAATGCAAGTAGCTTTACTTAAACTTTTTGCTTAAGTGCTTTTGCTTCGTTTTCATTAAGCTTGTTTTCTCTTAAGTTATTTTATTCAAATTTTTGCTCAAGTCCTTTTCCTCGGCTAACTTGTCTTTGAACCTTGTAGGCCGTTCATAACCACGTCATGGCTGCGGGTTTGAACGAGGAGCTGAAGATAAAGTTGAGGAGGCTGATTGCTGAGCTCGGCTAGCCGAACTGAAAAACCAAAAAGGCAGAGGAGGAATCTACGGCGAGCCAATCTCGGATGGATGAGATGGCGGCCAGCTTCCGAAACTTCTGCCGAGAGATCGAGCAAACCATTTTTCCTTGGATTGAAGAAGGCCATGCCTTAATCCAGGAATATGGGGCTATTGATATTCTGAGCTTCAAGGCTCGGATAGAAGAAAAATGAAACAAGAGGCAAAAGTTCGGCAGATGATTGCCAAGGAGTTCAAAACGAAGCAGGCTGATCTTGAGGCTGAAGTTCAGCGACTCAGCGATCAGTTGAAGGCTAAGGATTCTGACCTTTCCAATGCCAAGATTGAGCTAAAGGGAGTCCAAAGCCAGCTTGAGGTCCAAACTAATGAAGCTGCGAAGGCTAAAGAAGATCTTAAGGCTGCCCAGAACTCGCTGAAAGTCCGAATCTACACCCAAAATCAGTATGATGAGGGTTTTGATAACGACTTTAAAGTTGCTTGGCACCTGGCCTTCCATGCTGATCCAGGCATAAATTGGGATGTGGCCGAAGAATGGTCAATGGTTCCTAACCATCCCAACCTGTTAACTCCTCATGAAGCCGAGCTCGCCTTTCTTGCTCGTCTTGCCAAGATTGAGGCCCGAGAAGAAGAAAAAGAGGCTGCAATGAAAGAGAAAGACACTGCTCAGCCTGCTTCATCCTCTGTTGCTGCTGAGACCTCGAAGGCTCCTAGTGCTGATCTGGAAAACGCCGAAGCATAGGAACTCGGGCAGTCGTCTGTAGAATCTTGTGGGTCAACATGTACTTAAATGATATTATTACTGCATCTGCTTTGTTTTTGCCTTTCTTTTGCTTCAACTCGCCATGCATTGTACAAACTTATTTTTGCTTATTTTCTAAGTATTTGTACTAGTTTCGGCAGTTGTGTTTTCCGCTTGTAGGCGGCTGCCGATTTAAGATTTCGTTGTACTTGACATTGAAACCCCCAATTTGAATTAATTTGAAGTTTCTCTCAGCTTATTTCTTCCATTGCCTCGTTTTGTTAAATCTCGGCTTGGAAATATTCTTAGCTGAAAACTTCTTGATTTGCTTTCATTCCTTTTGCCTTGCTCCTTATACTTAGTTTTTCTTTGAACTTTTTCAAAAAATTTCTAAG